ACACTTAAACTGTGAAAGGAACCAGAGAAATTTCCTTTTCCTTCCACCTTTCCTATTGTGTCTGGCACAGGCTTCAAGATCGTGGGATAATTAAAACCCAGTAAAGATTATGAGGTTGTAAAAAGGAAATTGTGAAACCCTCATGAACATTTACATCATTTCCCCATGGAAACATTTCGGGTTTGTGGTCTGGAGAAGCATTTCCTTGTCTCTTTAAGCACCAGAGGAGCATTTCCCTGCAATGATTCCTGGCACAGCTGCCACCATTCCATGGGCCTTTACAAAACACAATCTGCAGGCTCTGTCTGTGAACTGTTGTGTCCTGCAGGGTCAGTCAGGACAGCAAAATCACTTGTGGGGAAGGGAACAGAATCATGGAATGGTTTGGGTGGGAAGGGACCTTAAAATCATCCAGTGCCACCCCTGCCATGGCAGAGACACTTCCAATGTCCCAGGGTGTTCCAAACCCTTCCTTGGACATTCCAGGGATCCAGGGGCATCAACAGCTGCTCTGGCAATTCCAGCCCAGCCAGGGATTCCTTCCCAAGATCCCACCCCAATCTCCCCTTTTCCAATCTGAAGCCATTCCCTGTGTTCTGTCCCTCTGTCCCTTGTCCCCAGTCCCTCTCCAGCTCTCCTGGAGCCCCTTTAGACCCTGGAATGTTGTGGAAGCTCTCCTTGGAGTTTTCTCCTCTCCAGGTGAACATTCCCAGCTCTCCCAGCCTGGCTCCAGCCCTGGAGCCTCCTCTGGACTCTCCCCAGCAGCTCCAGGCCGTGCTGCTGTTGGATGCCAGCACTGGATGCAGAACTGGAGATTTTCTGTGCTCTTGTGAGAGATCCCAGAGCGAGGACTGGCTCCCTCCTGCAGGGGTGCTCTGCACAGCTCAGATCCAAGATAAAGGAGATTCCTGGGATTTTTGCACCGTTCCCAACACCCTCTTATGTTTTTTTTCTCCCTTTGGGAAACCATTTCCCACTGCCAATGTGTGATAAATGCCCTGTGTGACTGATTCCCACGGGCCGGGATGGACAAACAGGATCCAGCCGACAGGAAAGGAAACATCAGTGCTGGCAAGGCAGCAAAGTTCCCCAAGGAGCTTCCAGGGGCCTTGAGCTTCTGTTCCATCCCTAAGAACTGCTAAACCCGGGTCAGGCAGAGCCTGATAAAGCTGGACAGGACCATGGGGACACCTGAGCACCCAAACCCAACAGGGTGGTGGCTCCTCCGTGCCCAGGACTTGGTGGCCTCCTGGACCAACACCTGGTGACCAAATGTGGCCTCAGGGGCCTTTCCAAACCCTTCAGGGCTCTCTCACCTTCTTCTTCTAGAGGGAGCCCCGTGAGTGTGGCTGCAGAGGATGGTGAGGAGGGGATTGTCTGAGTTGTTTACTCCCAACCAGCTTGTCTCTACCCACAGCCCAGCTCTGTCAACAAAAATCGTTCCCAAAATCTCTCCCCCACACCCAGAATATCTCCTGTTAGAGAGGTTTGAAATAAACACCAACACTCAGGCCAGAGCCTTTGCAAGGGGATCTTTTCCCTCATATCCAATCTAAACCTTTCCTGCTAAAACTTGAGGTCATTTCCAATCTAAACCTTTCCTAATAAAACTTGAGGTGATTTCCAGTCTAAACCTTTCCTGCTAAAACTTGAGGAGATTTCCAGTCTAAACCTTTCCTGCTAAAACTTGAGGTGATTTCCAGTCTAAACCTTTCCTGGTAAAACTTGAGGAGATTTCCAATCTAAACCTTTCCTAATAAAACTTGAGGTGATTTCCAATCTAAACCTTTCCTGCTAAAGCTTGAGGTTGTTTCCTGTTGCTTAGGGGAGAAGAAATCAAATCCCACTTGGCTACAACCTCTTGTAAGGGACTTGCAGAGAGTGAGGAGATCTCCCCTGAGCCTCCTGTTCCCCTGAGCAGCTCTCTGTGATAAACAACCCAATTTCTGGGCTTCAGAAATCACAACATCCGTGGTTCATCCCAAAACCGCCTTCCCAGGGAAAAAATACTCAGCCAGGATCCTTTGATGAGGATTCTAAGGTGGAAGGAAGAATCATGGAATTAAGCTTGGAAAGATCATGGAGCCCAATGTTCTTGTGATGTAGAGAGGAAGCTGGAGCAGGGAATGTCCCTGGGGGGGCTGACTGTGATCCTTGGGATATTTACTTCCCTCGTGAAGGTTTGGAGAGGACTGAGAGTCTGAGCTCTTGAGGAGACACCAGGGAATTGTAAACTCGAATTAATTCAGCTGCAAAATCTTCTCTTTCCTCTCCACCTGCTCTCTTCACACCTTGTGGGACTGGGATGGACAACGAGAGGAGCAGCTCAGGGAAAAACAGCTTAAATAATTTGTTTTAGACTCAAAAATACTCCCAAAGATGAGATTTTCCTGATTTTATCCCATCTGTCCTGCACAGCTGCTGGCTGGGTGGGAAATGTGGACTGCAAAGGCTGAGATCAGCAAAGCAGAGCCTCAGCTTATTAAGAAATTAATAATTAACCAGTTGCACACTACACTAGGCCACAGCAGCCCAGTGTGAATTCAGAGCTCCTCACACATCACCTCAAAGGGTCTGAAAATGGCATTTCCTTGTCCCAAGCTGCTCCCTGTCCCTTTTCCAAAGGCCAGGTAGGGAATATCCAACATTCCAGGACCTTCAGCACAGCACAGCTCAGTGTGTGTGATCCCAGCAATGCCCCCATCACCATCATCCCTCATGGAATTCTCCACCCATCAGGGAAAGGAAACACCTCCTGCAGGTGCTTATTGACATAAAAAACAAAAAAAAAACGGATTGGGAATAAAATGAGGGGGGGGAAAAAAAACCCTCAGAAGATTCCTGAGGACGAGAGCTGATGGGTGAGAAGCCTCTCGAGCTGGGCTGTGCTAGCTGGGGGTTGGATTGAATGACTCAGGAAATCATTTCCACTCTGATGGAGCCTTGGAGAACATTGAATTTGGGCCTGGAAAGGAATCTTTTAAACACCTCGGGAACTACAGTTCTTAAAAACACCCGGATAAAACCACCAGAGCCTTTAAACATCCTTTAATTCTGCAATTTCAAGGTTGACACACGAAGCACCTACAGCTCAGAGAAACTTTTTCTCAGCACAGGAAACCCAGCCGGGTCCCCAGTTTTCCTGTCAAATACAAGTGCAGTGGATTGTGATTTTTAGAGGAATAAAGAACATTTTGCCAGGTGGATTTGGAGGGTCAAGGCAGGGCAGAATTGGTGCCCTGGGTGTGCCTCAGACCCCGGATTTGATGCATTTGAGCTGATCATTGGTGCCCAGCTACACCACCCTGCCCGTCCTTCCAGTGCATTAAAAGACAGCCACAAAATATCTCTGGAGCTGGGGAGGGGACGACTCAAGGATAACATTCAGAACGAGAGAGGGAATTTTTTTTTTTTTTTTTTTTTTTTTTTTTTTTTTTTTTTTTTTTGTGATTTTCTATTGGCAATTTTCTCCTGCAGCCACCCTGGCGGCCGGATGGTTCGGGGACGATGAAAATTGGAGAAGTGGAAACAAATGGTCCCGTGTTACCTCCCACGTGGAGAACGGGCTGATGAGCACCTGAAGGAATAAACAATCACATCTTTCAGCAGTGGCAACAGCAGAACAATTCCCGTGGGTACAGCCCGGAGAAAACACCAGCAAAGCTCAGCAGGCTCCAAAAAAAAAAAAACCCAAAATCTCCAAACCATCCAGATCCCACGTTTGATCAGCAGGTTTGGGATTGACTGGCAGGCTGATGATTATTTAGTGTGGTCTGAATTTCCAAGACCCCGATTTTCCCCTTTTCCCACCCCACAGCTCCCTTTACATCCCGAGGCAAAGCAGCAGCAGCAGAGCAAAGCCCGATATCCCACCCCAAACCCCGGCGAGGGTTCCTGCTGCTTTTGGGAGAACACTGAAGAAACGTTATGTGCCTACACATCCAAACCGCCCCAACCCCAAATCTCAAACTGCATTTCCCTCCTCACAACGCCCAGAAAATTCCCTTTTTTTTTTTTTTTTTTTTTTTTTCCCGATTAAAACAGAAAAAAATAATAATTTTTTTTTTTTAAATCGCGGAGGCGCCACGGGTGGCGTGGATATCGGCGGGACGGTCACACGGTGGTGATTTTCTTGTCCTTGGTGGCCTGTTTGATGGCAGCCTGCTCACAGATGATCTCCTTGAGGCGCTGCAGCCTCATGTTCTGCGTGGTTTGGTCGCCCACGCCGGTCTGGCTGCGGTGCAGCAGGTTCAGGGCGTAAATGTATTCCAGCTCCGTGTACTTCACGCCCTGATCCACCACCAGGTTCAGCAGCTCGTCCGCAGTGTTGTAGAGCATCTCGTAATACTGCCTGCAAAGACACAAAAAAAACCCCCATTAATTGTGGTTATCGACGGTGCAGAACTTTATTTCCGCAGAATTCCCTGAATTCTGGCTTTTATTCAGCCAAAATCCCACCATGGTTTGGGCTCTGCAGCCCTGGAAAGGGGTTTTAACCCTTTAAGTGAGGTAGAAATAAGATGCACGGCTACAAGGTTGTTTTTTATGACAGGAAGAAAAAGACAAGTTTATTCAGAAACACACCCCGATTAATTGTGGTGATTACGGTCCAGAACTTTATTTCCGCAGAATTCCCTGAATTCTTGCTTTTATTCAGCCCGTCCTGAACAAAGCACCGACATCGTCCCAAAATCCCACCATGGTTTGGGCTGTGTGGAAAGGGGTTTTAACCTTTTAACCCTTTAAGCGTGGCAGAAATAAGATGCACGGCCACAAGGTTGTTTTTTATGAGAGGAAGAAAGAGAAGTTTATTCAGAATCACACCCTGATTAATTGTGGTTATTGACGGTCCAGAACTTTATTTTTGCAGAATTCCGTGAATTCTTGCTTTTATTCAGCCCGTGCTGAACAAAGCACCGACATCGTCCTGAAATCCCCCAGCGTGGGCAGGTCCTGAAGCCAGAGTGACACAAATCCCCTTTATTGAGATTCACTGAATGCTTTGGGTTGAAAGAGACCTGAAAACCTTTCCAGTTCCACCCCTGCCTTGATCTGCTCTCTTCTCCCCCAGATATCCCATGGCTGAGTCCTGGGAGCTTTTCCTGGGAGCTTTTCCTGGAAACTTTTCCTGCCCTTTCCTGGAAGCTTTTCCTGGAAACTTTTCCTGGGAGCTTTTCCTGGAACCTTTTCCTGGAAACTTTTCCTGGAAGCTTTTCCTGGGAGCTTTTCCTGCCCTTTCCTGGAAGCTTTTCCTGGAAGCTTTTCCTGGAAGCTTTTCCTGGGAGCTTTTCCTGGAAACTTTTCCTGGGAGCTTTTCCTTGAAGCTTTTCCTGGAAGCTTTTCCTGGAAACTTTTCCTGCCCTTTTCTTGAAGCTTTTCCTGGAAACTTTTCCTGGAAGCTTTTCCTGGGAGCTTTTCCTGCCCTTTCCTGGAAGCTTTTCCTGGAAACTTTTCCTGGAAGCTTTTCCTGGGAGCTTTTCCTGGAAGCTTTTCCTGGAAACTTTTCCTGGGAGCTTTTCCTGGAAGCTTTTCCTGGAAGCTTTTCCTTGAAGCTTTTCCTGCCCTTTCCTGGAAACTTTTCCTGGAAGCTTTTCCTGCCCTTTCCTTGAAGCTTTTCCTGGAAACTTTTCCTGGGAACTTTTCCTGGAAGCTTTTTCTGGGAGCTTTTCCTTGAAGCTTTTCCTGGAAGCTTTTCCTGCCCTTTCCTGGAAGCTTTTCCTGGAAACTTTTCCTGGAAGCTTTTCCTTGAAGCTTTTCCTGGGAGCTTTTCCTGCCCTTTCCTTGAAGCTTTTCCTGGGAGCTTTTCCTGGGAGCTTTTCCTGGGAGCTTCTCCTGGAAGCTTTTCCTGGGAGCTTTTCCTGGAAGTTTTTCCTGCCCTTTCCCGGGAGCTTTTCCCGATGATGTGGGAAGGGTAAATCAGCTTCCCCGTGCTCCCATTAAAGCCAACAGAAAGCTTGGGGAGCTGAATTTGCTCTTTGGTTCGGTTTGCCAATCCCATAGAATTATTTATTAACCTATTTGTCAGACGATAGACTGAGCTTTTGATAACTTTTTATCAATTAATTGATAATTTAAATTTAATTTTGATAACTTTAATTTGATACATTTTAATTGAATTAAATTTTCCTTGGTTTTAAACCTCAGCTTTCAAAACACAGGTTGCCCTCACCTGTCCTCCATTTATTTATTCCCTCCATCCTTTCACAACTCACTTTCTTCAGCCACCTCTTGCTAATCAAAAACAGGGTTTGTAATGGCAGGGACAACCACGCTTGTGAAAGGAAAATGGAGAGCCTAAATAAAATAAAAAAAATTTAAAAAAAATCACAGAACAAGAGGCTCATCCCAATCCCTCTTTCATATTTCATTATTTGATAACATCAGAGGCTGAGTCCACCAGAGCTGGCAAACAGCAGACTGCCTGATCAATATTTATTAATATTTCAAAGACAAGGAAGGCAAAGTTGAGCAGACTCTGTAATGGAGTGAATAATTACTCATGCAAATGGGGCTTGGCCTCGGGTGGGTTTTTAATTGCACCCAATTAAAAATGCACACCTTGAGCTCCTTCCCCCTGCTGCCTGCCTTTCTTTTAGAGGAAAAAAAAAAAAAATTTAATTAAAAAATAATCTGATCCTGAGAAAAGTGACAGATGAATCCCGAGGTTGTGAGGGATTCTTCAGGTTCAGGACAGGTGAGGGAGGAGCTGTGAGGAGAGGATGGGGCTGTGCTGCTGGGCCTTGTCCAGTGATCATTTTATGCACATTTAGTCCCTTTTTTTGTATTTTTTTTTCCCCTTTAAGGAGCTCTGTCACTTTGGGAAGGTGTGGGGCTGTGTGCTGGGCCTGGCACCACTCATCAGTGCTTTCTCATCAGTCTCTGTTTTCCCTCTGAGCCAGGATTATTAGAAACAATTATTAGACAATTCTCGTGTTTGGGCTTGGATGTTTATTATATTTTATCAAAAAATTATAAAAAGTGTGACAACACCTCCAGCTCCCTGCTACAAGTGGGGAAAAATGGCCCCAGCTGAGGCTGCTTCAAGGCCTTTGAAAGCCAAACAAACCAATAAAAGTTTAACACTTATATTATTTATCTTTTTGACCCAATAATAGATTCCCACCACCCTCAGAGTGACATTGACTGACCAGTCCAAAGGTCACTGCCCGAGTTCTGTGAGGAAGAAGAAAATGAACAAAGAAAAAAAACACCACCCAGAATTTTCCATCTTGTCCCACAGCCACCACTGTGCTGAAAAACCTTAAAATTTAAACCTCATTTCTCAGTGAAAACACACACATTTGTGAACTGCACATTGGTGATTTCTAACTCATTATTCACATTTCCTAACTCATTATTCACATTTCCTAACTCATTATTCACATTTCCAAGCCTTCTCCAAGGTTCCAGCTCCAGAGCAGAGTTTTCCAAGGGGTGTCTGTGCCTGGAAGGGCAGAAAACTCCAAAAACTCCAGATTCCTGAGATCCAACAGCCATGGATTTTTTTGGCTTTGGAGCAAAAACTTCCCTGTTCCTGGACCCTTGGAATGTCCCAGGCCATTCTGGATGGTGCTGGGAGCACCCTGGCACAGGGGAAGGTGTCCCTGCCATGCCAGGGGTGGCACTGGGTGATTTTGGAAGCCCCTTCCAACCCAACTCAATCCCATTGTAGGATTGTGGGAATGCAGCTGATGGGAACAAAGTGTGCCAGGGACGTTTTCGTGGTTTTTTTTGGGGATATTCCCAACAGGGAAATCCTTTTATTCCCATGTTGGCTCTCAGTTATCCCTCATGTGCTGAAAGGCACCGATGGGATTTGCTGGGCTGATCTGACAGCAGAGATTTTACAACACAAAAACACAGAGCAGCTTCTCAGGGAGCATCTCTCCCAAATTCCTGTGGAGTGAGAGCTGCTCTTCACAAGGGAATTCATCTGCTCCAAACCCTCAGCTCTTCAGGGTGGCAAAAAAAAAAAACAAAACTTCTCCCCTGCTATCCAGCCCCAGTGTTGATGGAATATTTTGGGGAATGAGGAGTGAAGGATTGCCTGAGGTATCCCAAATCATTAATGTCTCCTCACACAAGGTAATTAAATCATTTTGATGGTTTGGATGGCAAGGATTTGTTTCTTTTTTAAAAAATAAAACCCATTTTCGTGTGATGAGCTCACATCCCAACCAAGACACCCACGGCTTGTTCCTCTGACCACTGGCAATGCCATTGGCTCCAAAGCTGCCATGAATATTTTTGGGCATTTTTTAGGACAAGCCTAAGAGCAAATAACACAAAACTGAATTCTCCCTGCTCCATTTATCCACGTGGAATTGCCCCTGGAAAATCCACCACGAGACGAGCTCTGTGCTGAGAGCAGACAGGGAAGGTTAAATATTCCTTTCATGGGCTGGAAATGGATCCCAGGTGCAGGAAAAACCATCCCACAGGCAAAGCAGAAATTCAGAATCCACCTGATCCCCCCAAACCAGTTTGTTTTTTGGGTTTTAAGCAGCACTTTTGAAAGTAAAACAGCAAATTGCCAACCAGGAACTCGTTTTGCAAGGAGGAATATTGAGTTTCTATATGGAGAGATCCATATTAAAAAACGGTCTCTTGAACTCTTTTCTTGGAGCAAGAGAATAAAAATTAAGAAGCTTTCTCATTTAGGGGGGAAAAAAAAAGAAATCAGGATGAGCTCAGCTGCTCTGAGGGCTATTAACACCATTCTCCATTTAAATGTTAATATTCACCTCTAACCTCCCCCCCCAGAAAAAAAAAAAATTAAAAAAATAAAGTTTTCAAAAGGTGGCCAGGTGAATTCCAAATGAAATCCTGATTTCCCTGAGAATGACTTGATCTCTTCTTCACAGGAGGACCTTGGGTGTGATGTTTCAGAATAAAAGATCCCACTTTAATTATCCCTTCCTGCTGCAGTGGGGGTCCTGCTCTGCATCAGACAGGAATGGATTCTCCAGGCAGGAATTCCAGTCTGGGAGCTGAATTAGCCAAAAGGACCAAAAAAAAAAAAAAAAAAAAAAAAAAAAAAAAAAAAA